TGTAAGGCCACAGCAGTGCTACCTGGCAAGTGCAAGGTCCTGAGTTCGATTCCTTCTACTGGGAAAAAAAAAATTTAGCCTAATCTGTGAGACATTTTGGAGAATTTGAGGGAAGGAGAGAAGTTCTGACAGATACAGATTTATTGAAGGTGGCGTGGGTGGGGTGAAAAGGAATATATGCCAAAATTATCAACAAAATATTGGCAAATTGAATCCAGCAGCATATTGAACATATTATTTACATTTATGATGACCAAGTGAGTTTTATCCTAGGAATTTAAAGTTTAAGAAAATCAATGAGTTATATCACTAATGGAACACAGGTGAAAAAGGAAGAATACACTGCTATGAAGTTATTACCAAAGACACATTTGACAAAATCCAACACTTCCATGATGAAAAAAAAATGTTAAATAAAGGGGAAACTTCTCAAGTGATAAACAGTGTTAGGAAAAACCCACAGCTGTTATCATACTTAAGGCTGAATGGCTGAAAGTTTCCTCCCTGAGAACAGGAACCAAACAAGACCACCCATATACATCACTACTATTCAGGATTGTGCTAGAAGTTGTAGTGAGAGCTACTATACAACTGTAAGAAGTGAAATAAGTCCAAATTAGAAAGAGGTACAACTATATTTGCAGATGACATTATCCTATGTATCCAAAGAAATCCACAATAAAAGAATTCCGCAAAGTTGTAGATTACAAGAAGAAAAAAAATCAGTCATTTCTATAACCAGCAATTATACTCTAAAAACAAAATTGAGAATGTAATTCCATTTACAATGTATCTAAAAAGCATTTAATCCTTTTAATTAATCTAACTTAGGAGGAAAAAAAAGTATGTTGAAAACTAAAAAATATTGCTGAAAGAAATTTAAAATATCTTAAAAATGGAAAGGTATCCCATGTTCATGAATGGAAGATCTAGTATTATTTAGATATCAATACTTCCCAAAAAGAGCTACATATTTAATACAATTCCTGTCAAAATTCCAACAGCATTTTTTTGCAGAAATAGAAAATCCAACACATTTGTATGGAATAGAAAGAGGTCTCATCTGTAAAACAATGTTGAAAAATAAAGTCAGAGGACTCACTCTTCCCAACTTTAAAGCTCCAGAAATTTGAACAGCATGGTACTGGTGTAAAGACATGTAGAAAAATGACATAGAATTACAAACCTAGAACTAAATTCTCACATATAAGGTCAACTAATTTTCAACAAGAATGCCAAGATTGTTCCATAAGGAAAAGACAGTTTTAAAAATGCTGCTGGATATACATGTGTAAAGGAATGGACCTTTATCATATACCCTATACAGAAATTACCCAAAGTAGATCAAAGACCAAAACTTAAGATATAAAATTTAAAAAGTCTGGAGAAAGGCTTCATAATATTGAATTTGGCAATAATTCCATAAATACCAAAAGTATAGGGAACAAAAGAAAAATACATAATTGGACTTCAGAATCACAAACTTTTGTATATCGAAGGACACTTATGAATGCAGACATATAACCTGCAGAGTGGAAGAAAATATTTGCAAATACTATATCTGTAAGAACTCTTACAACCGTGAAATAACCCAATTTAAAAATGAGTAATAGGCTTGAATAGATGTTTCACACAAAAAAAGGTACGCAAATGGTCAATAAGCATATGAAAAGTTGGTCAACATCATTATTAGGGACTAATGTAACTCAAAATCACAATGTGATATACCACATGCACTCAGATGGCTGATGGAAGAACAGAAAATCAAAAATTTTGCAAAGGATGTGAAGAAATGTTTCTTAGAAATGTAAATGATACAGTTACAAAAAAATATTGTAGTAGTTCCTCAAAGTTTAAACCCAGAATTACCATATGACCCTGCAATTCCACTCCTAGCTATGCACCCAAAAGAACCGAAAACTGATCCAAACAGATGTCTGTACACCAGTGTTCATAGCATTATTCACAATAGCCCAAAGACAAAAATATCTATTTTTGATGGACTATCACATAAAAGAAATATGTATTTAAAATGCAATATTATTCAAAAAGAAATGAAATTCTGATACAATTCAGATGAACTTTTTATTTTTGGTGCTGGGAAGTGAACAGGGGGCTTTGTGCATGCTAAGCATGTGTTACACAACTGAACTACACCCCTAAAGTGAACCTTGAAAATATGCTTAATGAAATAAGCCAGACACTGGAGGGCAAGTATTATGACTCTACTTTCATGAAGTTTCTACAGTATGCAAATTCAGAGACAGAAAATAGAACAGAAGAGGTGAGTTATCATGTAATGCAGAGGGTCCCCAATCCTGGGCCCACAGACCTGTACCAGCCCACAGCCTGTTAGGAACCAGGCCACAGCAGGAGGTTAACTTAAAGCAAAGCTTCAACTGTATTTACAGCTGCTCCCCAATGCTCACATCACTGCATCAGCTGCACTTCCTGTCAGATCAGCAGCAGCATTAGATTCTCATAGGTGTCTGACCCCTACTATGAACTGCACATGTGTGGAGGGGTTGTGCATGCTACTCTAAATCAGCCCCAAACTGTCCCTCCCCCATCCATCATGGAAAAGATGTCTTCAACAAAACCCATCCCTGGTACCAAAAAGGTGAGGAACCACTGATTTAATGAATACTGAGCTCACATTGCCTATGATGAAAAACTTTTAGGTATAAATAATATACTGTATGTGGAACATGATTAGAAATTAGAGATAAACTCAGCTCATGCTGTGAAGAGTTTTGATACCATGTTAAGGAAGAGCCAGTTAAGGCTTCTAAATATTGCAGGGAGTGAAGTGATTTATGCCAGAGCAGATAAGCAGTGACCATGT